CTTGTTCTCTAAACCAGCGGTTGCTCCACCACAGGTTTTTGACCGAAAAGTTGCCATCCTAGTCGCTTTGTCCAGTACACGCCTTCCTTCTTGGGGTTTTGTACCAAAGTTATCCTCTCTCATGTTTGTGGAGACTGGTCGATGCCACCAGGTGCTCTTCAGACTTTAATCCCTTCATGACCCTCTCCACCCCGAAATCGGTGCAAACCACGCCAGATCTTGCAAGCGCTTATTCTGAGAGGGCAAGGATTACTTGATCCAGGCTATCTAAGGGCCCCTCTTTACCCCTTCATTTCCTCCCAGCTTTCCAGTCCTCTGCTGTGCATCTGTCCAATGGCTTGGTGACAAGTTCCTTCCCTTTTATAACTATCCTGTGCTTTTCCTGATAGGTGCTGGATGCTGCCTCCCTGCGCTCACTGTCCACTCCCAATGCTACCAGTTCCATGTTACCCATGGATGCATCCCATGTCCACTGGCACCGGCCTTCGGCTGAGCAGCTCTCGGTCAGTCTCACCTTGAGCTGGACGTATCCTCCCAGCAGGGCTACTTGCTTCCGTGTGCATCACCGGAGCGGGTCGTGCGTCAGAGACTCTGAACCGCCTCTTCTCCTGCTTGGGGAAGCGCACGCCTGCTTGTACCGTGTGACTCAGCTGGCAGTGCCCAACCCGCAAACTCTATCGTCATGCCGCCTGGAGTTCCTGGTGGAGCCAGTCCCTAATGATGGCAGCCACATTGATCCTGCCATGTGGGGAAAACTCATCTTTGTGTATTCTAACCCAAAGCTACCAGAGGACACTGCCACACTTTCTCCACACCCACAGCCAGGCCCATCATCATAACATAGTTTTTGTTGGGTGTAGCTTCTATCTAAGACAGAGCTCTCCAAACTTGGCAACTTTAAGACTTGTGAACTTCAACTCCCAGAATTCTCCAGCCAACATAGCTGAATTCTGGGAGTTGAAGTCCACAAGACTTAAAGTTGCCAAGTTTGGGGACCCCTGGTCTAAGAGGTATATAAGGGGACATCCTTTTAATAAAGCCTCTTGGTTGCTTTCATCCGAGTTATTATTTCTTTGCTCAGGCCATGGTCCTGTTGTCTCACAGAATTGACATTCAAAAGCCAAAGATATTTGGATGTGCACAGCTCCTCTGTACTTGGCAGGGAATAAACGATCAAAACAGATTTCTTAATGGACAGCATAGGCTACCGACCTTGCTTTTAAAATATAAACATCCATTCACTGCACTGATACAAATAGCAGTGTTGTTAAGATGGAAACAGGTGGCAGTTGTCAAGTCTGCTGCTTCCAGTCAGATCCCTTTAATGAACAGAGAGGGAAAAATCATTAGCTCTCATCAACAGGGAGATTTATTCTCAAATGAAATAGGAGGGTGATAACTTTCGGAAGTCTAGGGATGAGGCCAGAAATTTTTCTGTGAGAAAAATTCACCTTTTTAATAACTAATATTGCAGAACAGTGTTGCTCATTCTCAGTAACTAAGATGGGTGGACTTCAATTTCCAGAATTCCCCAGCCAGCATGGATTCTGCATTTCTGCATAGTTGACCGAGGGAACCTTAAACTTGTGGTGTTTCCTCTCAAACCCTAGAAACCACTTCCCAGCAACTCTTTCTGGCTCCAGTGTTGTTGCCTGCAAATAATGAGAAGGGAATATGGCAGAGACACCCCTGGGCATCATATGGAAGTAGGTTGGGAGTGGGGGGATGACCTCTGCAGTTGGTGCACAATGCAGTATTCTTTTGCCATGGAATCTGCTTGGTTTGTGGTGATACTGGACTGCAATCAATAGGGATTTGCTCTAAGGGACGCATGGCAATGTGCAGCTCAGTACTGAATGCAGTTCTAAATGTGTAAAGGCTAAGTAAGTACATTGTGAGACCTGTTATTTCTTCAACAGGATTATTCCTATGGTTCCCTGAACATTAAGGTCAAATGCTGGATTTCCACTTTGCTGCTGCGGAAGCAAACTTGCTAACTTTTAAATTCTTATGCAATTTTGTATTCTTAACTGCGTTGTGCTTCCGTGGCATTTGTTGCGGTTGCCGCAGCTATTAATAATGTTGCAGTAAAATTTCTGTCTTGAATTTATCCTCTTTCATAGATACTCGAAAAATAATTGTGTTTCCTTCCCTGGAATTATTAGGAAAGCATACAAAATGCAAAATCTAAAAATACCAAGAGAATTTTTATGCACTTTAGAGATTGGATTTACAGAAAATACTGTAAAGAGTGCAGTAGAGTTCAAAGTTTTGCTTAATGATCAGGCCCCTTCTCTCTTAAGTGACACGGAGCATCTACACTGCTGAGGCACTGAGGGTGAAAAGGGGCCACTGAGCTTTGTGCGCCACTGCAGCATTCGGAATGAAAGTTAACCTAGTCATTGCACTTCCAGAATGTTGTACAATTTTTGTTCCAGTCCCTTGGCCTCTTTGGCAAGAGCTGACAATACTATTTGCTTCAGAAGAAACCTCTCAGGTGAAATGATTTGTTGTGGCTTGCTTTGGCTGCATGCTTGGCTCTGCTGCAGGTTAGGCCATGAGATTTATAGGAAGCCGTGTCTGATCTGAATGAGAAAGAGGTTGAATGGGAAGCTCCCACACTCTTTTACAGTGCCAGGGTGGCAGCTGTTAACTTCTTCCCCAGTTTGCTGTAATAGGAATACTTTTAATTTTCCCATTCTGCCCCGTAGACGGGTGAGCACCTGGGAGAAGACCATGGCCAGCCATGTCTGGGTTGCTACCAAGAAGACTACAGGGACGGGGCCATGGAGTTGAGCTCAGTTTGAAGAGGGCGTTGCCTTTAAACTCTTACGGAAGGGCCAGTGAACGGCCCATGCAATCTCCCACTTCTCTTCCGGGTCTGGTCTGATCTGGGTAGGTGGGGAGAGTCCCTCTTGTCCTGCTTTGTGCAAAATCACCACCACACCCCCTTTCTGAATTCCTGATGCAGCTCTGGCAAGAGAATTGATAGCAGCAATTATTCCTTCGCAGTCTGGCATGCAGGCAATTAGCAGCTGGGAGTTTGGCCAAGCACAGCACACATGGGGATCTCGGCTCTTTGCTGCACAGGCCTGTCTCCACATGTGGCCACGGCTCAAGGCAAAGGAAATTGATACAGCGACATTTACGCTGCCGGTGCTGGTCAGATGGGCATGACTGCAACAAGAGCAAGAAATTGACATTTTGAAAAATGTCGGCCCTGGCATAGGGATGGACTCATGACATTTTCTCTCTTGCTTTTGGATTTTTGCTCTTTTTGTTTTTGTTTAACTTTATGCACCAAGGCACCCATGTTGCTCATCTGTAGTCCTTATTTCAGGCAACAAAGACGCCGTTTGCAATCTCTCATGTTCCCTCTTTCCTGCCCTCACTCCAGTGGCACATCTTCATTAATTGATGGAGGCGGCATTTATGATGAGAAGTTCTAGTACAAATCCACTGGGTCTGTTCTGTGGACGTGGATGACAGCCTTCCCCGTGTACTTGGGTTCTGAGTATTTATTTTTAAAGTACAATTCTCATTTAGCTCTCCACTAATCATGCTGACTGGAGCTGTTGGGCAGTGAACTCTGATACAGAAATCTGCTAAGAGTTTTCATCCTCCACTTCTACGGCCCCGTCTGACTATTTCTTTTACACCCGCTTTTTCTACTCTGATAAGCATTCAAGGCAGCTAAAAATGTCCCTTTAAAAGGGTTTCTCCTGCAGATCTGCATAGCTGAACTAATGGGCAAGGAAAGAACTGGCTTCCTTAGCTATCAGTCTCAGCTCCTGAAATTGGGGCCAGTAACAGATCACTATTGCCGATGTCTCCATACAAGGGGGACACAAGATATTTGTAACTTGCACCAGTTAGTTTTTTAGCCCCATTTTGCATGACTTGCAACATCCAGGCATTTCCAGAGTGATAGGAATTGATTCAGACTGAGATGATTTCCATACAAAGACACAATAACAGCTGGAGGTCAGGGGGTGTCTGCAGGGCAGGGGGTGAGGTCAAACACCACACACAAGAGAGAGAGAGAGAGAGAGAGCAGGGTTTCAATTGTGCAGTTGTGGTTGCCATCTTGCCTTTACTGCCCCGCTCACCCCATACCCCAATTCTTTCAGATACTTATGTGGAAGGTGACAGAAATGCTGGGAGTCTAAGGTGTAGAAGGAAATAAATACTATTTATGGGAACTATACAATTCAGTCAACATATAACCAACTGATCAATGCAAAGTCCTTGCTGTGAAGGGTAATCCCTTTGAAGGAGCTGCACTTGTGACCCAGAAGGATGCTTGCAGGGCAAGTGGATCTGGGGCTGCCCAATGCCTTTCCCCACTTATCTTGGACATGGGCAGCAGACACAGAGGAAGCATGGGATGTGGTGGTGGCGCGTGTGTGTGTGCGCTCCCAGACCACTGGCCCTAGTGTATAAGCCTAATGAGAATGTTTCTCATTCAGCAAATGCAAGCAAGGTCATTTCTCTTGTCTAGGATTTTTATCATACATACACCTGCCTCTTCCTAGAGCCAGCATGGGACAACTTGCCACAGTTAACTTGCCCTTGAGTTCTCCATGGGACAATTCAACAATTCAATTGAATTATTTAAAATAAATCATTATTTTAATTTTTGTCATTCGCATTTCATTTTGCCCCTCCTTTGGCATCCTTTCTTTAATGATTCTTTCCCACTATTTCTTCGCTATTGGTGTAACTCTTGTCCCGTGATGAACTGGCCATAGTAAGTTGTCCTTTGCGAGCTGTCAGTGATGAATTGTCATAGACCCTCCTACAGCAGCCTGTATTTTGCAAATTCCCAGGCTCCTTCCTGTTTGCACCCTTCCCCACATTTAACCACCTCCCAATCACAATCGTGAGCCATCCTCATTGAAGAAAGAAACCTTTATTAATAAATAATAATAATAATTAATAATAATAATAAATACTGTTTATTTGAATGGTCACACTTTTGAAGCATATAGAATGGGGTGGGTAGCTGATGCTCCCAGGGTGGGAGAGGGGGTAGCAAATGGGAGGGGGGGGTTGTACAAGGGGGCAGGAGTGAGTGGCAAAGGTGGGGCTATGTACAACGGGAATAGAAAAGGAGGATCATCTGGTTGCTGGCATGTCAGGAGCTTTAATGCTGAATAGAAAGTGAGGTTTCATGAGATGACTAAGCCAAGGGGAGGTCAGGAGCAGGGAGGAGGCCCTGAGTCCATCTGGCTCTGGGGTGGGGTGGGGTGGGGTGGGCGGGCGATGGGACATGCACTCCTCCCATGAAGGGCTGTGGGCAGGGAGGAAACCCTGGGCGGCAGCGGTGGTGGTGGTGGCAGCAGCAGCGGTGGTGGTGGCGCGACTTGGTTTGTGTAGCAAAACGGGTTCTTTCTCCGAATGCCCTGGGGCCCAGCCTGGCCCCCTCCCCAGCTGGGGGCTACGCTGCTCTCCCTTGCCAGCCACACAGTCCTTGAGGAAATGCTTGCCCAGCACCCTGGCTTCAGTGTGATGGAGGGGGGAGGCATTCCTCGGCCCTCCGGAGCAGGGTGGGAGGTTCTGGGGGAGACCTGGAGATCTCGGACGTTTCTCAGCTCTGAGTTCAGCCAGGCTTCCCCCAAGGACACCTGCAGGGGTGCAGCTCGCTGCCTTGTGGGCCGATGGGAGCCGGGATCCTCAGGGGGGAGAGGAAAGTGCAACTTCTTCAAAGAAAACCCCCCTTGAAACCCTGGGGTGCCCATCCACCGGCATACCCCAGAAGGCCTCAGCCTGGCCCTACACCATACAGGAATCCAAGGCTTGCCGACTTGACCAACGGATGAACCAGCAAAGCGCGAAAACACTGGGAACTTCTGGGATGCAAGAAGCAGGACGGCCAGCCCTGCCGGGCGCTCATGGCGTCTTCTGCGGTCTGGAAGGGCCGCAGGTCTTCAGGAGGGCTGGAAGGAAGACGTGATGGCCTGGGGCCTGCAGAGTCCAGTCTGTGTCAGTACCTGTCCCTCCTGGCCCCTTGGTCTGCAGCGGGGAGGAGCAGGGCACGGGTCTCCTGATGCGGACGGCATTGTGGAGTCTGCGTGGGGCTGCCCTGCCGTCCATCTGTCCGGGCAGACTGTCGGTAGTTGCGCTCCGGCTGGCCTGTCGCTTGGGGCGCATGTGTGGACAGAAGGGGGCTTTCACTCGGTCGCTTGGCTTGTTAGTTTTGTAATTGTTTGTTGCTTTGCTTTAAAAAAAAATGTTTTGTGCCCTTCCTGGTCCCAGAAGGAAACAGCTGAAGGTTTCACTACAACAGAAAACAAAGGCAGAATGTTCCATGGAGCAACCTGTAGGCTGTGTCCTGGGGGTGGGTGGGAGGAAAACGGGGCAGGAGGAGAAGGCAGGGAAGCACTTTCCTCTCTCTGTGTGTGGGTGCTGGTCCAGAATGTTAGATTTGGGAAGTGGGGGTCCCAAGTATCTTTAAGCTTTGCGGGTCCCTTTTGGACACAGCTGTGGGTCCATTTTGCTCAGCAAGTCAGTGATGAGAAAAGTTACCCGAGGCCTGCATGGAATTGGTAGCCAGCATCGTGGAAGGAAGCTGGGATCGCTCGGCCCCACCCAGGGCCCAAACCCAGCCAGCTCCCTCAGAGACCTACATGCTAGGCCCAGAGGGGACCTGTGAGGTCTCCTATTCGTGGCACATTCTCCAGAATAACTCCCAGTCCCTACCAAGGCCAGCCTAGCAATATATCCCTTACTCGTTTTTTCCAATGGGAAGAGGGGATGTTTTTCTCCCCTTGCAAGAGAGGGAGAAGTCCCTCTGGTTGACACAGGGCCTGAGCTAGGCCATCTTTCCCCCTATGGGAAGGACCTGGGCTGCTGCCCGCCTGGCACTTTTGCCCTGCCTTTGTGTGAGGGAGAAGAAGGGCCACCGCACCTGAGGGGGACGATATCCTGAGTTCCTTTGGCCAAAGCCTCTCCTTTAGATGTGTGAGAGCAGAAATGACACACGAGGCCTCACAGGGGCCTCCTCCAATAGTATCCCAAAGGTTCTCATAGGACTTGATCTAACAGGAGAACTCAGACACTGGGTAGCTCTAAAGGAAGGGGTGTGTGTGTTTCCTTGAGGTTATCTTGTTGGGGTGGGTGTGGATGTGTGTTTGTGTGTTAAAAGCAGGCACCTGTCCCAGCTCCCAGGCCGACTGCTTTGCAAATTGACACAAACGTGGCCAATACACCATCAGAGACAAGTGGGAGGAGAGGCATGGCAGGCGGCTTGAGGTAAAGAGATGGGTGATTTAGGCTGCCGAGGGCCAGCAGCAGGGGACAGGGGCCCATGTCCACGGGGTTTTGGTTGGATTTCTAAGGAGCAGTCAGTGTTACTACTGTGAGGAGGGTCTGGGTCTGTCTTGCTAGTAGGGAGTGAAGCGGCTGTACCCTCCTCGGTATAGACTAGCCTGCAACATCAAAGACGGAGAAAAAGCCAATCAGTATAAAGGAGAGGCACAGCCCATCCCTGCCCTGTCCTCGGAGCCAATATGGGGGCTGGGCACTGAGTGGCAGATGGGAGCGAGGGCCAAGGGCAGTGGGGGAGAGGTGGGGGTTGGACTCAATCTCCCAGAATGCAAAGCTGCCTAGGGGCAGAGTTCACAGGAAACCCATCCAGACAGATAAGGCCAATAGGCATATTTTAAAAAGTAAAGTAAAATGGTGCTTTGGGGTCAGGGGCCTAACACTCTGCTATGAATCCTTAAAGGAAGCGAGGGTCTTGCAAAACCATGCCTCGGCCTCCCTTTATCTAGACAGATGCCTCCCTCTCAGTATTCCACCCAACCCCACCCCCACCCCGGCCTTCTGAGGGTTGAGGGTTCAATGCAAATTTGTGAGCTGGTGGAATTTCTCGTGGTATCACTAGGAAGGCCCTGATGGCCAAAAAGGATTGTAGGATGGCTTGAAATCTTTCTCCTCTTTGATGCTGCCTAGAGATCTGATAACAAGGAGGCATCACTGCAGGAACCAGATGTGGAAGTGTGTTCAGGAACAGGAAGGATGGGGAGAGAGGGTGGCTTTGAGGGAAAGGTCCCTGGGCGCACACACACCTTGCTCAGCTCCCACCCACTTCCTAAAGCCCTGCTTCTGAAGGGAGGGTCCCTGACACCTGTACAAGCTGCTGCTCACTTCAGGTGGCTTTTAAGAAGGGCATCACTTGTTCAGGAAGCCACCCTTTCAATTAGGTGCATCCCCTGGCAATGAGGGCAGCCAGGGCTAGGCCCAGCCCCAGATGTGTGCTTCTTCTCTAAGAATCTTCCGGCTTAGGGTTCCTGCTTCCTGGAGAGCCGATTAATAGGACAGCAGCTGAGACCCGAGTGTCAGTGTCCCCAGAGACATCCCAAATCTTTCTTCCTCTTTTCCCAAGTATCCAACCCTGACTGCCCACATTTCCCCACCTTACCTCCCCCGCCCCCAGGGTCTGGATGGCTATGCACAATGGGATAGAAGGCCCCATTCTTACCATGGTGCCGATGCTGTAAGTGGCAGCAGGGCCAATAGTGTGGTGGTAAGGGTCTGCAGCTGCATAAACTCTGCCGTAACTAGGAGCGAACACAGGGGGCAGCGTTAGAAACTGAGGAATCGCTGAGTTGCCAACCCTAAGTGTTCAAAAAACCATGAATCAGGCCCCAGTCATTATTAACTTTGCTTCAAGTCATGATAAACACAGAAGAAACGACAAGAAATGTACACTGAGCTTTTCGCAAAGACCTCTGAGTTACTTTTCCCAAATGGGTATCCCGGGGTGGGCTGCTACGGATTCGCCCGGGTTCAGGAGAACCCGTAGCTAATGTTATAGCCATCTGGAGAATCGCCAAATCCCACGCCTGGCTGTCCCCTTCCAAGCCACCCCTCCCCTCCCAGGAGTCTCCACGCGGCCTGTTTTGGATGAGAGGTAAGTGCAAGGCCCACATGGAGGCTCAGGGAGGATGAAAAACGGACCCATTTCTGGCCTCCGGAGCCCAGGGGAGGCCATTTTCACCCTCCCAGAGGCTCAAGGAAAACCTCTGGAGCCTGGGGATGGTGAAAATGCCCCCCCTCCCGCCATGGGGCAGAAGGTCAACTCGGCCATGTCCACAATGGCCATGCCCACCAACCAGGCAGAAAACCCATTGCTGAAGTTTTTGAAGCCCACCCCTGGGGTGTCCACCAAATGTGCCAGGATGACAACTCCAGCCTTAAAAGCCAGGCTGCTTGGGAATGCCAGAGGTTGCCATTTGAGCATTGTTTGGGGGATGCCATTTGGGAAAAGCGACCTGTCACAAATTGTTTCAATTCCCCCCTCAGAGAGAGAGATCACTTCAAACTACAAGCATCTCAAAAAGGAGAGGGCTAGAATTATAGGATCCGCTTCTAGATGAACAAGCAGGTCATTATGTCTTTTCCTAGAGAGATACTAAAGTCCCCAAATGTACAGGTATCACTGTAGCTAAACCAGAGGTGGCCAAGACTTTTTTGGAGGGTTGCGGAAAGTTGGTAGGACAGGGCCCCCAACTGTGTGCAGTCTTATGATTGTCTCTTTGAGGTCTGCAAGGAAATTTGGATTTCTCCTTCAGTTCTGTGCATTCTGTACCTTAGCACTGCTTTTCCGGTTGTGCAAACAGAGATTGTGAAGGTTTGACTTGCAGGGGAGAAAGCGTGTAACCCAGAAGCAGGAAAAGAGTATTTGTTTTCCCAGGAGGGAAGGAATAAAACCATTTGGCAGCCAAAAGATGTGGGGTAAAGTCATCCCAGCTGCAGTTCCTCCACATTATCCTTGTTTAACTTTTGTGTGCATCCTGCAATTTTATGAGGGCACAGATCACTATTTATTTCAATCAAAGGAGAAGTAGGAGTGACTTGGTGACTGGGTCTTGCTGATTAGAACTGGTTTTGTAAGGTACACATAGAATGTAAATAATTGTTTCCTGGCTGTGGATAAAGTTGGAGCAGACCTTTTGTCAATATTGGATTTTATGAGCCAAAAGTAAGAAATCATGTGAGGATTTTATGTGGGGGAGAAAGAAAACATAAGAAATGAATAAACAGCTAATATTTCAGAAATTCTTTGACCAACAACATCAAGCAAAGAATGGAATTAACACACATATAGAAAAACTAACACCCTAAGAAGATTTTATCATAAGAATCTTTAGGATTTCTTATCTGTGAATAACCTCAGAAGGCAGCAGTATCTAGCCAGTGCTGGTTGATTTTGAAAAGGCAAACAAGACTGGAACTTGTTATTCTCTGGATGGGAGACCACCCTGAATTCCCAGGTTAGACTGAGAAATCAGAAAGGCATTCTGGAATTGGGCACTGTTAATCCGCTTCCAGGCTGTTGCCAAGAAAACTATGTGTATGTCATAGAAGCCATTGCTTCTGGATAGTTTGGTTAAGATCAAGAAGTGTGTCACAGAAAGGAAGCTTGAATCAACCTTTTAATCCCGAAACAGCCCTGCACAGTACAGTCGTGTACAGTAGGTTGGTATTCATCAGGACCAGAGTATGAACAATGACCTACTTTACTGGGCTGCAGTGCTATAGATGGGAAGGGCTCCGCTGAGAGTGTCACCGTATAAGACCCCATGCATGTTTCTTGTCAGATGTGACTGTTAAATTTGACTGGCAAGACCAGCTTGTCCCAATGCAAGTATAATCGCTAACCATCTTGCAAGGGCAGAAACACACAATACCCTCAATCCATCAGGAAAGCCACTTTTCTGTCCCCTAGCCTACCCCCAGGCATTCATTAAATGTGTTTACTGACTTGTTGGGCTTCATTTCACTGTAGGCCAATGTCTCTATTCTAAGGGGAAACTCTGCCTGATGGTGGGGAATGATTCGGAAGTTGTGGGAGCGCCATCACTTGAGACTTTCAAGAAGAGATTGGACTCCCATCTGTCAGAAATGGTGTAGGGTCTCCTGCTTGGGTGGTGGGTTGGACTAGATGACCTACAAGGTCCCTTCCAACTCTGATTATCTGTTATCCCTGGGATTGCTGCCCTCCTGACCATTCTGCCCTGGGTGGCTGGATGAGCTGTCCCCTTCTGAAAGTCTGGACCAGAAAAGCTGTACTCCCCCCCCCCCCCCGCGGAATAGATCTGATGAAACACTGGCATTTTTTTAAAAAAAAGAAGCTTACTAGTAGAATGGTGCAAGGCTAAGCTTTTTTCTTTTTAAAATAATTGATGGGAGGGGAAACAAGGATCTTTCTCTTTTTGTTTAACTAGGTGAAATTTGCCTAAAAGAGTTGTGACTCTTTTCTAGTCCAACTGACTGGAACAATGAGAAAACTGCGGTGCTTCTCTTTTCTTCCTGTCCACTGGTCCAAAGACAAGGGAGGGGCTCATACTCAAAACGTTCCAATGGAAACCAGTATCCTGAAGTATCCCCCATGGAAAGAAAGTAGTCAAGAGGGACTACGGTAAATGCAGCCTGAAGTGAGCACCAGGCCATTATCATGGCCAAAAAGGAAGAAATCTGGAGTTTGAAATCTGGAAAGGTTTAGTTTCCTGCAGGTTTATACATGGAAGGCAAGCAATTAAAAGCTGCCATGTGGAAGAACCCTTCGTTTATAGCTTCCTTTCTCAATGAGGGTACTGCACACTTTTTATGATATCTCCCTATGAATTAACACAACATATGTGCGTTTTAAGTGGAACTGAACAGATGAACACACACATTGCTTTACTGAGCATGATAATACTAAATATAGAAATCAGGAGAATGAAAAATGTTTTCTAGGAAAGATTTCTGAGCAGAAATAAATGTGTTCCACTGATAAAAATGTACTGCTCTGCTAGTAATATTTCTTGCTGTGGATCACTCCTCCGCAGCTTTATCCCAATATTTCTTATATTAAGCCTCTTATAACGTATTGTTTCTCATAATATTTTCACCTCCTTCATATTTATTTACTCCGTTATTACTTTGTTGTGCATCTTTAACCTGCTTTTCATTAACAGCAGAATAATAATCTACCGCTAACCTAATTAAATGACAGTTGTATTTTTAATAGGATGCTAAAACATGTAAAGGGAGTAGGGTGATAAGAATATTGCATGTCAATAAATACCTGATTAAGACAATAGTCTCTCCCACTTCCCAAATAAAGCTTCAGCAGCTACCGCTGTATTAACTAGGGCTGTGTGAAGAAGTGCTACTTGATTTGCAGAATGGTTTTGGCTTCGATAACTGCAGTGAAAAGGCCCCGCAGTGTGGAAAAGCAACTTTGCTTGGAATGAAATGTCTTTGCTGCACGATCAGAATTTCGTTGGAGCCCAGTGAAGCGACTTCTCCCAGAAAGTGTGGCCACTCTGCTCTAAGCCCCTATTTTGTGGAGCCACATTGGAAAAGCGCTTGGCTGAATGAACAATCCAAACGAAACGCCCCTTCCATGTTTCCTACCCCTCCCCCACTTTCGTAATAATTGTGTTTAGAAAAGGAAGATAAGCACAAAGGATTAATTGAGTTGTCTTGTTGCCTCCGAGAGACTCCATTTAACAACATAACCTCTCCAAATGCAGGCCGCTTCAATATAGCCATTCATCTTATCAGCATGAAACTCTGTATACTGGCAAGCCAGAAAGCGCACACATTTCAGTGAAAAGGTATTTAAAAAGGGGGGGGAAAGAGAGGCAACGGTTGCTTGTGAAGAACAGGAGAGGGGAACGAGATGAGGCATTGCTCAGACCGCAGACTCTTTGCACTGTGGACAAACCAGCTCTCGGCCCTTTTGAGTGTTTGCTGCTTTTTTCAGGGTCTGCCAGGACTTCCAATACTCCCCCTGATCCCGGGCAAGCCAGTCCATGGGGGCTGGAAAACATTTCTGAGGGAAAGCAATGATGCCCCTTTTCTCCACACCCAGGTGCATCAGTAACAATTCCTCGATGCAGGGACGCCATTGTGAATCCCTGCATCCAAAGGAGGGGCTGATAAGGGGACCAGACGCCAAAAGAGCAAGACGGCTTACCTGTCGCTGTAAGCTGTTGCTGCCGCTGCCGCAGGCTGGGCGTATCTGTAGGCCGCATAGCCCCCCTGGAGGAGATGGGAGAGACAAGCATTAGGGGTGACAGTGCGACTGCAGTGTCACAGGAGAAGGGCACATCTTTTGGGGGAATCTCAGGGGCTGGCTAGGAGGGAGATAATGTACCCACAGGCCCAGCCCCTCTCCCTCTCTCATTAGCATTCCCTGGGGGCCTTGCTACCATTAACCTGCAGAAATTAAACATGCTGAGGAGAGAATGTCACCTCCCTAGCGGGTGACCGGTGTTAACGAGATGTCGCCTCTGATAAATCTGTCAGTGTGTGCCTGAAGTATTGCCCAGAGCACTTTAAATATGGAAGGGAACTGCTGCTGTATAACCCAGCAGGCTGACACCAGGCCAGAAAATAAATCCTGCCCTCCGTAGGAGCGGATGGACCCCACGCCCCACCCTCACAGGTAGCCTGCTTCCCCTTTGCAGCTGCCGCACATGCAGGCAAGCGGGAAAGTGTGATTTCAAGCCTTCCCTTTCCACCCTTAACCTCCCTCAGCTGTGGAAAGCACTAGGATGAGCCTTGGAAGAGTGATGAGGAAAGCTGTACATATAGCTTATGGCGGAGGCTCAGAGGCTGCCCAACTGCTGCTGCTTCCCCAGCTCTGGGCCTCGGGTTGTTTTCCCCACTGTGCTTTGGCAGCCTTGGCTTCTGTTTGCATCATTTAATGAAAAGAGCAAGCAGGGGGGGGATTTCTCTTTGACAGAACAGCCTTCCTGGAAGAGCCTGTGCCTGGTTACCAGCAAAGTCTGCCAGGTCTCTGCAGGAACTTAAGTACCAGAGGATGCTCTGACTGGAAATGAAAAAAAAAAAAGTATCTCCTAAGGAAACTTTGAAAGGATGGACTTACATAAATTTCAGCACCGTAGAATCCGTCCTGGTAAACCACTCTGCAAAAGCAAGAAGAATGTGGCCGTTACCAAGAGTTACTTTGGGTAGGGATCTTTGGAAGCTCACTCCGCAAGACTGGCGTGCGTTCCAGATGGGAACACTAGAGCAGGCTTCAGACGAACCTTTGTGGCTCTGGGGTTTGGGCCCATCCATTGCTTTTCTCCACCTCGACAGCAGGAGAAGTGCAAAGGCAGGTGTCATGCAATATGTGATAGAGCTGTCTGCCTGGCAGTCAACATGGAAGATCATGAAGGTGTCCCTGGGGGAATCTGGAGACAGTCGCACAATAGCCGCATACATTCTGTGACAGATTTTGCTTCATTTTCGTCATTTTAAAAAGGATCAGGTTTCCGATCCACATGGTGAGAGGCTACAGGATGATCAACATGGCTATCTATTCTCTTCCACATATCATGTAGTGATGCTTTTCTTCCTGTATCCCTCATGTTTGTCTAATTAGTAAAAGAAGCCTATACAACACAAGAAGTAATGATGATCAGCTTCGGAAGGAAGCATGAAAATAAATATGTTGTGCAAAGCATGTACTTAATTGGCTTGCATAATTTACGCTGGCCAAGGAAACAGAAAATTCCTGTTGAAAAAGTGGAATGACTGGGAACATGACTTCTGCAGCTGTATGGGTTGACTGAAATGTACAGTGCCACCAGGGCAGATTCTCTGCCTAATCTTACCAAAATGGTGGCCTCCGGAAATGCCATAATTTCCAGACAATAGGGATGATCTGTAGGAATCTCTCTAGGAAAATTGAGGCCAATGAGAAATCCAAGGATAACTCTGAATTTTCCAACCGTGTGTCCAGAAATCTAGGACAACAGAGACTTGTGTCTTAATCACACTGGAACCACAAACCGAGAAGCTTCAGGAAGGAATGCCTCAGAATTAACATGGCTTATAATGAACCATAGATCACACTGCCCAGAGCTGAGACACATGGGGAAGAATCCTCTGGGTCTTGAGAAGACTGAATGTCTAACTTTGGCCTCTTTCGAAGTGTGCCGAACCACCCATTTTTATAACGCACTCTCTCTGCTCAATACTCACGCTCCGTAAGCGGGGATGGGTGGAGGTGGGGGAGCTGCTCGGAACGTGTTGTAGACTGTGCGTCCTCGGCCCCTTAAGTGCGTCCCCCTGTACGCTACTGCAGTTCCTGTGGCTGGATATGGAAAACCGGTCACTGGAGGAGGGGAAGAAATAACCATGAGCCTTGAATAGCTCCAAATTCTAAACTCTGTTCTCCATTTTCCCCTACCCCTTCCAAGAATAAGGGATGAGCTTTTCTCATCTCCTTGCTCAGACATGTTCCTCGCATCTAACCTATGAATCTAACCCATCAATTCAATATTCCTTCCTATAATATTCGAGGAATTGTTACAAAGAAGGGGGGAACTTGTTTTCCAAAGCATCTGAAGGCAAGGCAAGAAGTTACACATGGAAAACTATCAAGGAGAGATCCAACCTAGAACTAAAGAGAAATTTCTTGACAAAGAGAACAACTAATCAATGGAATGGCTTGCCTTCAGAAATTGTGGTGTTCCAACACTGAAGGTTTTTAAGAGATTGGAAGCCATTTGTCTGGAATGATATAGGTTCTTTTGTTTGAGTAGAGGGTTGGACAAAAGTCCTTTTCAACTCTTTTATTCTATATTCTGTATTTCTGTACCTTTTCCAAATATTTGCCTTCAAGACTTTTACCCTCTGTCATAATTCTATCAAGAATTATGCATTAGAACTTCAGACCATGACTACGTCTCGGTTCTAATCACAGTTGTTCTCCTTTTCACAATAAAATCCAGATGCACACACAGTTTTCTCTCTCCACTTTATCCAAACCAGTGTCTGAAGCTGGTTATGTGAAGTACAGACAAAGGAATGAACTGTTTTGCAAGGACTATAAGATCTACAAACAGAGCCACCTGCTAAACAGAGCGCAAGATGGCAGGGGGGTGAGGGCTAAACGATGTCTCAGACCCCTCCCAATTCCATCAGGATTCATTTACCACACTAAACCCTAAACCTAGGCTAACAACACAGGATTCCTCTACTTATTTGCTAAGGCACAAGCAAACAATGAGATTATGGTTTTACGCGATGGCTGGGTTCATACAATATATTAAGAGAGAGAGAGTACAGCATCCCGAGCTATAAATTCCATAGGCCCATTTAGCTGGGTTGAATATGTTGTGCAGAAGCATATTAACTGTGCCAAGAATACTGTGAGATGCACTGAATACATTCAGTGATATGTTTTATGGCGTGTTTATACTAGCCTAAATCTGGATCTGAACTGTTATAATTTGGCCAGTCTAGAACCCTAATTTACAATGGGAAGTCAAAAATCCTTGCCATTACTAAATAATATACCTATAGATTCTGGTTAATAGTCTACCAATCCTAGAGTGACGTCTTAAGATAGTGATTTGCCTAAAATTAGCCAGAAAGCTCCATGGCTAAGCAGAAATTTGAAACTAATGTTTCCCAGACTCAGCAACCCCATTTCCCCCCTCAATCCTCCCCACTCTCCCCTCATCCCCCAGCTTTTCGACTTCTTGCTTTCTTCTTTGCAAGCAATAGCCTGTGGCATCCTAGGAATAAGCAAGAGCTAGATTCTGCTACGAGATTCAGTAGTCCTGCCAGATCCCTAAGAGAGAAACGCTCGCCCATGGATCCGGCCTGATTCAGACATTACCTGCATAAAATTCAGGGCCATAGACGGCGCCCACTACAGGGTTCAGCTTCCAGCCTGGTAACAAAGAAGTAAGCAGTCAGAAAGCGTGGCTCCTCCCAGCCCTCCTAAACAGTCCCTAACAGGGGAAGTAAGGGGGCATTCCAAGAACTGGGCTGGAGGGGGGGTGCTAGGCTCATTAGGCATTGTCCTCGAAGAGGGAAATCTGGAGCGTTTGCTTTAATAGGCTGGGTGCTCCTCTTGCCATCTCTGTTTCCAGAACAGAGATTCAACCCAAATCCATGCTTTGCATTTTTTTTTGAAACAACCTCCCCCTCCCCCTTCCCCGCCCCAAAGTCAGAACACCTCCCCATCCCCAATCTATAGGGTGGCCTGGTGGAAAACAAGTCTGCCCCCTTCCCAGGAATGCCTGGCTTTGACTTCATTTCACACACCGCCCCCCTCTTCCTTGTTCCATTACCATTTGTGTAGGGATTAGCTGCCTTTTTGTTTGTCATGACCCGTGCGGTGGCATTGTTGACCTGTTGAGAAACAAGCACCAGGTTACTGGTAAGACTTTGGGGTCCAAATGGAATTCCTCTTCCCTGGACCTCAAGAAGAACGTCAGCTTTCAAAAGGCTGATGAAGGTTTCTGTCAGATCCTCCATCGTTTATGGGCTAATCATCCTAAGCAAAAGCAATTTTGCTTGCCATGCTACAATTCTCGACATCTTGGATGTGAGCCTTCCAAGTCCAAACCTTACAGCTCCTTCCTAGGGTATAGGCCACAAACAGGAGTGCAACATTAGAACCACGGGGGGCTTGTCGCGAGCTGAAACTCTCTCTTCCCAGGGTCATGTTCACAGCTAGCATGCAGGGCCCTGCACAGGCAGTTTTCATGCATACTAGAAATACCATTAACTGGACGGGCTAGGCAATGCAGGCAAGAGGAGACCTAAGAACTTAAACCAGCAGAAGAAAAGGGTGGGAGTCCCAGCAGAAGAGGATGTCAGGGGCAACAATGCAGCACCATCTCTCTACCTCACAACTCTGATGAAGCAGAGATCCAGGGATCACCTTCAGTGCTCCAGAGTGAACAAAGGGCTCAATAGCTACCAAGAACTACATTCACAGAAGGGCCTTTTGCATCTTTTACATGGTCCATTCTGAAATTGCTCTGTGCTTCCTCTTTGGAAGGCAAAGAGCAAGAATCTCTGCCAGGCGACAATTACACAGGATGATTTAGGCAGATTTTCTGGAAGTTTCCTGGAAGGCTTGGGGACATTATACTTCTCTTCCTTCCCTTAATACTGTCTGAAACAACTGTGTGTAACAGATTCTTGCTGGAGATGTTCTGCCTTCCTTCCCTTCTGCATCCTCCCCTACCAACCAGTCTACAATCAAAAGCACAGGACATGCAACATTCACTCACCCGCCTGCTTGTCCTGGCTAATCCCAGAGACAGTTTTTTTATTTATATACATATTTAAATATATACATATTTAAAGGTTTGTGATGCAGTTGAAAGTGTGAGGCCTAATGCCCGAGGCAGAGCAGGCAGTGCATTTGTTCGCACCTCAATTTTGCGTCCCTCCACGATGGTGCCGTTCAGCTTCTCCCGTGCCCGATCGGCATCTGCACTAGTTTCAAAAGTTACAAACCCAAAACCCTGTGAGTGAGGGAGAGAAAGGGAAAAAGGAAAGAAAAAGAGAGAGAGAGAGAGAGAGAGAGAGAGAGGTTGGGGAGGGAGAGAGACAGGAAAAGGAGAAAAGGATGAAGAAAGAAAAAAAGGGGGGAGGGTGGGAGGAACAGGACAGAGAGAAGGGGTGAGTAAGGAGCAGCAGAGAAAAGAGGCAGGACGTGAGCTTCCCAAGCCACCCTATAGACCGGGCGAGGGCGGGGAGGGGGGGGGCAGGGAAGGAGCGAGGACAAGGGAGGATAAGGACTGAGAGGGATGAGAGGACAGGACAAGATCTGCATCGCCGCTCCATTAGGGCAAAACGACCCAAAAGGACTACAAATGTGTAGGACTGTTTCCCCTGACTATTGGCTTTACAGTTATATCACTCAGGCTAGAGAGAGACAGTGGCCCTCCTGTGTGTGAAGAGGCCACGGGGATGGGTTGAGCCTCCAGTTCTGCCTCCCTCCAGAGTGGCTCAACCATCGTGCGGCACCTGCTCAGCTTCGGTACAGTTTAGCTCCTACAGTCAATAATGGAACAGCAGGAGCTTAAGCACTGAAAGGGTCTCCCAAGTTTCTTTCAAACTTAAAATACCCGAATTACCTCCTGGAACCAAAATTCAATAGTGTATTATGAGGAAGAAGAAATATCCACGTTCCCTCCAAATCTTAATATCGTGTTGCCTTAAGTAGCATGTTGCGTTATTTTTTTTCTCTCTCTCTCTCTGATCAGAGCAATTTCTAATCTCACCATGAGAGGGTGATCTTTTTCTGCATTAAATTACTTTTAGTGACGGGTTTGTGGCTGACAGTTTTTCCTTTTTCTCTAGGACTCCGGATCTGGAATTGCTTTGGTTAATTATTTTTCAACCAGCACAGTTGTTTTCAGAGGGAAAGTTAAAATATCAACATGTCATTCTTAACACCTAAAGTCCCCGGGCCTGAAGGGATGGGTGAGGGAAAGAGTAGTTAGAAACCAGGAGGCACCCTGTGGCAGAGAAAGGAAGTGGCAAAGGCGGGGGTGCAGAATGGAGGAGACAGACTGGCCCCTGGAAACACCCATCCATCTACAGGGACATTTGGATTGTTATCAGACACCAACATGTTGAACCCACCTTGGAACCACGCTCATTGAAAATGATCTCAACATCCAGGATCTTTCCAAATTGCTGGGGGAGAAAAAGAGGGGCAGGGGAAGGGGGGGAAGAAGGAAAGGTGAAAATGGGAGCAGAGACATCATTTCTTTCCATCCTGGTTTGGAATAACCCTTCCGCTTTGATTCCCAAAAAGCCATGGCGTGCAGACATCTCTCGAACATCTTTCAGTATCCAATACAGGTCGTTCTCGTTCTCTTGTTAAGCGAGACATGTGTTAAGTGAATTTTGCCCCATTTTATGACCTTTCTTATCCCAGGCGCTATGTGAATCACTAGTCGGTAAGTTAGTAACCCGGCTGTTAAGTGACTTTGCTTGTGAGAAGGTTGCAAAAGGGGATTACATGATCTTAGGGACACAACAACGGTCATAAATATGAACCAGTTGCCAAGGATCTGACACGATCATGGAGCTGTTGCAAAGGTTGCAACTGAAAAACGGTCATAAGTCACATTTTTCAAAGGCATTGCAACTTTGAACCGTCACTAAATAAACTGTTGTAAGTCGAGGACTACCCGTATTGGCCACAATTGGGGTCGGCAACAACATTTCTAAGCAACGTGGTTATTAATTGAAATGTCACGTGACTGTGCCCAACTTACGTCTGTTCTGCAGCACTTTTAAAGTCACGTGATTGTGACTTGACATTTCTCGCTGGCTTCCCCACTGACTGTGCTTGTTGGAAGCTGGCTGTGAAGGCTGCAAGTGGCAACAATCACATAATGTGGAACACCACTGCGATTGTCGTAAATGTGCGCTGGTTGTGAGGTGCCCAATTACGGCCCCGTAATTATGGGGATGCTGCAACCGCCACCATTTCGAAGATCAGTTGTGAACCTACTTTTTTCAAATTTGCTGTTGTAAATTTGGCAAGCGAGGACTACCAATATTTTACACATACACAGAAAGCACTTCTGGGCTCTACCGTCCTACTTAGGCAAATGCCGCTTTCTTTCCACTGGCTACTAGGAATCATCACCCCTGGAAGTACAGGAGGTGCTTTCTGCATTACGCGACACTCAGCCTTTGAATGACATATTCTAGACATGCTTAGATTGAGAAACAAGTTTAATCCTGCTTGAACCCTGACTACCACAAGACCTGCAAAGCTCTGTGCGGGTCAGAGGGAACAGATAGGAGTTCCTGCCAAAGAGGAATGAAAGCAAGAAGCAGATACTTTAGATACAGGGATAATTAAAAGATATAACAAGAGTATGTGGAAGCCATATAAAGATAAGAAGTAGATTTGACAACATTTGGACCCAACATTGTTATCTTGATTGATATTCACTATCTTGGACTGATTTGCTAAAATTTATAAATGGTGCCAAATAATGCTCTGCTTTAACCATTGTTTGCTAAGTCAGGCCTAGTGACACACACGCAACATTCAACTGTAAACTATGTTTTACTAACCACAATGCCAGGTTCACATATCCCATGAAACAAACCCTCCCCACAACTCAATTATAACGTGGAAGACGGAGTGAACACAGCCAGTTCCTTTCCAAGAAGATCATAGGTCATTTGTACATTTCTATGTTTATTTAGCACAGAAAGGTGACAGACTTACCCCAAACATTTGCCGCAGATCAGGGTCCCGGAAGCGGAAAGGGATGTTGGAAACGTGTAGCCGCTTTGGCTGCTGCTTGTCAGAACCATTCTCTGGTAGGTGTAGTGTTTGGTTGTCCGTCTGCGCTGCTTCATCTGTCTGCTGGTGAAAATAAAGAAATGAAAGCACCATTGTGATTCTTTCCAGGTGCCTGTGTGTATATGCATGTGTGTGTGGGATGGTAGGGTGGGACAGGGCATCATTGCCGCTTGCAAAAGGCAGATTTCAAAGGTATGAAATTGAATCCAGCAAAAATGCTGGTTTGGATTTGGGGCAATTAGGTTTTTAGCCTGCAGGCATATTAACTTCATTTTTTGCAAGTCTTATTCTGCAGTGCTTGGGGCTGAAGCCATTTCTCTGTTTAGAATATTCTTTTTTTAAAAAAATCCCTCTCTTTTCTTCCCAATTCCCCCTCCAGCCACCCTTAATCCACCAGCCCAGACTTCCTCTCTGCCTGGAAAGCAGGTTCTTCTGGATACAGCTCTGAAGTGATCTACTTTCAGAGGGCTCCTTCCATCACACAGTGCCCCACTTCCGTTCTTTGGTTTTGCTTCTTACGCCCCCAATTCTGAACTCATTGCTTCAAGGGGGCTCTTTCATTTTAGCTCTCCCCAACGTTATTTTCTCCCTCTTGTACCCCATTTTCCTGTTCCCTTCCCTTCCCCTGCCTAAGATAAGGTCGAAGCTTGGGGCCTTCATGCTGCAGGGTCCCCATGATCCCGAGAAGCATTTGGGAATATGCATTCCTATGAAAGTGATGCTACTTGACTGCCAACTTTTAAGGTCGCCCCGAGACGAGGCTCACACAGTGTGCTACCGCAGGGTTTGTTTAGCTGTGGCTTGCTGGTTAAAAACAAAACAAAATGGAGAGCTGGGCTTACCCGACGCTCAAGCTGTAAACCATGACTTAGAAGCACGATAACTAGGTGAGCAAAATACAGCGAGCCAAACACAAACAAATCACATTATGGTTTAGTTCAGGGGTCTTCAAACTTGACAGCTTTAAGACTTGTGGACTTCAACTCCCAGAATTCCTCCTCTAGTCATGTTAGCTCAGGAATTCTGGGAGTTGAAGTCCACAAGTCTTAAACTTGCCAAGTTTGAAGACCCTTGGTTTAGTGCAATGTGAAAAGCCAGTCAGAGAGCGGTGGCATATGCTGTCACTTAGGGACTACTAAGAACACGAGCTGTGAAACCAGAAGTCCCCTGTTCAATTCTTTAATTTGGCCTTGGACCAGCCACCATCCTTCAGCTTCACCTTCCCCATTTATAAAAAAACAAAACAAAACAGGGGCCCTTGTCTTATTCCTCTACCTAGGACAGCAGTAGCACCTGAGAAAGTGGAATACGAACTAGCGTGGACCCTAATACACAGCTCTGGTGAAAGGAGGCTGGAGATGCGTTTGGCTCCATCCTGGGTTTTGCATGCATTCCTGCACACGCAGAACTAGGTGGGGAGGCCGAGCTCACTCTCAGAGCTGCGTGGTGGCGAGCAGCCAGCCTGGCACTCAGGGGCAGCTGGGAACTGCTCACTCAGCGCTTCTTCGCTGAGCTGCATTACAACCACATCACTGGCATGATAGCGTTGGCAAGAGGCCAAGCAGGTAGATTACAAGTGATTAGGGACACAAAGGGAGCCAGGAAACTTAAGTGCTGAGCCACAAATGCCCAAGGGGGTAGCAGGGTGCTGGAATGGCTTCTCCTGCAACTGGCCTCCCGCTGCATAAGAACTCTTGTTATTTTCACCCTGCTCTCTTTTGATCCTTTGCTATCTCTGGGCCTCAGATGGAACAAGGCCATGCAGGCAAAGTAGGAATGGAGACAGAGAGGGCCTTGGATCTGCCATCTCGATCTTCCCTGCTACCCATAATGCAGCCTCTCAGTCGTGAGCCAATGGGTCTATTTTTCCAACAGAAATTTCTTCTCATCCAATTTTATACATCCCTCCCCAAGTTCCATCTTTCCATTTTGCGTATTTCTGGGAGGAGAGACACCCTTTTCTCCTTCTTCATAGGATGCCTACTTCCCTGAACTGCCTTATGCTACCGCCCCCCGCAATGCAGGCAGGCCCAACAGCAACGTCAGGCCCTGCAGGGAATAGTCTCTTACCGGTACTGTTTGTGTGCCTGCTATGGACTGCGTGCTGGCATCAGTGCCCGGCTGTTCGGAGTGGCTCTGTGCTGGGGTGTAGAGCGTCAAGGCATGCTCGGGTACTGTGCTCTGCCCCGAATAGTCCTGTGCTGGATGCGGGTGTGGTGGTGGAGGAACATACTCTGGAGGGATGCCATTCTGTGGGGGTGGTGGGTATGTTGCCGGGGGATAGGGCTGAGCCATTGCGTCAGGCGGAGCCGTGGCGTCCTGATTGCCCTGCAGAGATGGGACAAGAGAACACTCCTTATTCATGGCTGACAATCTCAAGCCAGGCTCTGAGCTTGAACCTTCATCAGCTCCTCACTCTCTGTCAGCTCAGGTGAATTCCAGTTAATCTTCCCATAACACAAGGCAGTTAAGTATTGGCTAAAACAGTAATTGCTTCCTTACACGAAGGCAAGAAAGAAGGCTATCAACACACACACACACGTTTTATCTGCCATAGAATTGCTGGACATCATTTTATAGGAGCCGAGCGAAAACACGGGATGATAAAATCTTCAGGGTAGATGTGCCCGTCGTTATTCTAGTTTTCAATGGATTTGATTAGACTCTCATTCTCTTCTGGGAGAATTAGAGACATAAAAAGCATCTCACTGAAGGCGAGTTGGAATTACAAGGAAAAGATAAAATTATGTGTAGAACAAATAAAAACCTGCTCTAGATAACCTGCCCAGCAACTTCATGGAAGATCAAAAGTGTATTTCTTTTACAGCATTCTTTTTCATGTATATTCCAAAAAGCAATTAGCTATTCAAAAAAATTCTTGGTATGGCAAATTGCAACAGCTACCAACTGTTACGTTTGTACATCTGAACTGCAGGAACATCACCTGGACTTAAGTAGAGCATCAATTTGGACTTAAGTAGAGTATCCATTTGTCCATGAATATTTGTCTTTTAGAGATGGGAGAAAGTAAATGGATGCTGAGTGAAAAAATGGAGATTGGAAAAATTGCCTTTAGGACAGGAGTCATCCCCCCAGTTCATGCTTATTCCGGCTGAAAGGGAAGCGAAGGGGCCAAAAAAGCAGCGAGATCTTTGTAAGATACAGTATGTGTTTCCGTGTATTAACATAAACAATTATCTTGATCAAAGGTCAGCCATATTTCTAAATGTTAGGCCTACTAAATCCAAAGATTATACTTTCAAATGGAGCTGGAAATGTCCTTCCTTCCAAAACATACATGGGGCAGTCACCTAAGTATTGATTTGAGATGAGATATTGCAGGGGTTGTTATTATTCCAGCTAGTTTGCCTTTCCTGCCCTCCAGCAAAAAATTGAACCTACATGTCCTATTCTCTTATAAGGATACATAAAATTATTTATTCGGAATCATTGATATGCGGTAGCATTATCAACACCTAAAACTGGCCTATCTTCGTGTTTTAAAAAAGGGAAGGAACCAGAGAAGAACATGGCATTTGCCAAATGATAACAATTTCGTTTCCTAGACACTGCCTCAAAAATGTGTTAATTTCAATGAAAGTTTTCTGGAAGTGGAATTAAAATCAAAGTTCCACACAGCACTGAATGTAACACTATACTATCCACAACATATTCTTTCATGGTTTAGATTTTTCTATAATGTTTATTCAGAATTAAATCCCATTCATAATGGTCTTTCTGAACATTCATGATTTTTTGTCCAATTTACAAATCCTTACCATTAAATTGTTTCTTCTCACTTATGACTACCCCATTTATATATAGCCAATTTATTGACCCTTGAACAGCCTGTCTTAATTGTTCCGGTGTTCCAGAGGCTTTAATTACTGGTTTTGAGCAAAGAAATCATTTAAACCACCCTCTATCCTATGGGAACAAAAACTGATGCTGAGACCATTAAACAAGGCTATTTATCATCACTAACTGGCTATTCATCATTGTGTTTTTTTTTCTGACGTGTATCCCACAGAAAGAAAAATACAGGTGGTCCTCAGCTTACAACCACAATTGAGCCCAACTTTTCTCTTGCTAAATGAGACAGTTGTTAAGTGAATTCTGCCCCATTTTACAATCTTTCTTGCCATACTTGTTAAGTGAATCACTGCAGTTGTTAAATTAGTAACAGAGTTGTTAAATTAATTTGGCTCCTCCCATTGACTCTGCTTGTCAGGTTACAAAAAGTGATCACATGACCCCAGGACATTGCAACCGTCATAAATACGAGTCATTTGCCAAGCATTTCAATTTTGATTACGTGACCATGGGGATGCTGTTAACAGTCGTCAGTGTGAAAAAATCACCATGTCACTTTCTTCAGTGCCGTTGTAACTTTGAACGGTCATTAAATGAACTGTTGTAAGTCGAGAACTCCCTGTAAGGTTTTGCGAAATGAGCCACTCTATAAGGACACAGGACACCCCCTTCCCTTAAAAAAATAATAATCTGAATAGCATTTTACTTGTTCCCATAGGGCAGGCTGCTGTTGTAACTCACGGAGGTTCACTCACCCTTCATAAATTATACGTGGGAAAAAAATCATGGCATGCCAACATAGAAAATACTAAACTGCAACGTCCTGGATTTTCTTTCAAGAGGGAGTGAACTAACCAAAACACTTTCAGAGAAAGAAAAAAAAGTCTAGTTCAGAAGAATTCAAAAAATTCCTAATAAATTTTCCTTGACCTAGACTATTTTTCAAAATTTTCTTACAAATTAACCCTCATCTACTATTTTAATATGCCTAAATTTATGCTCTGCTCAAATATCCCTTAAATAAATTTTTGAATAAAATTATTGGACTATAAATCCTTTGGCTAGCCCTAAATCTTACACTGTACTTGTTAATGGACCTAGCGTTGAGAGAGAAATGCTCTGTACAGAGCGAGGACTATTCATATACATATGGACAAGAGTTCTAGTAGTGGATTCTATATTCCAAGTACTGACAAAATGCAACTTGGTTCATCTTGAACATTTGACAATAAATAAAGATCAAGTCTGTAGAAAATTACTCCATCTATAACAGGAGATCCAATTTGGCAGCTAGAAAGGAATGATCAGTATAGGGAGGTGGGAGGTGTGTCCTGTTGGGCCAAGTACGGTATCTATTTTATTCAACATTCTTGGGAGAACCAGAGGTTGATGGGGATGCCACAAGGAAGACATCAACAAAAAGGCAACCCAGTTGAATTGCCTGTTCGCTCTTGTGGACACAGAACTCAAAATCCATGACAACATGAATCATTTGAAAGAGATTCCGAATTCCCCAAATCCCACGATTTGTCATCAGGGAATTTCCAGTTATGATTCACACATGGAAGATGTTCCCACCTTCTCTGCCTGATGCTAATTTTAACTGATTACTGTTCTGTGTCTCCTACAGGATGCAAAAAATTAAAATAAAATAATATCCTCTCAGCCGCTAGTTACCACTGGAAATATTCGATGGGAATGTGACTCATATGCTAGGGACAGCTTATGTGACAACTGTGACAGTCATCACGTAAAGTATTGTTTATTTATTATTGGATGCATATCCACGTTTTTTGAACTATTCAAGATCCTCCTGCCTCCTATTTTCCCTCACAACAACCTTCTGAGGTGGGTTGGGCAAAGTCTCTCAGCCAATCTCCATGTTTTAAGGAGGACTAGAACGTGTAATCTCCCACATTCTAATCCAGTCCTTGAACCATTCTGGTTCTCAAACACACATCCACAGTTCCTCACAGTCCTAATATCCTCCACCAAGCCACCCTCCTCTGCAGATACACTTTCTCTCACTTGCCCACCAACATAGCTTCATACCTGACTGCTCCCCACACCCCTGCCTCCTTTCAATCCCTTATTCCTTGCCTTGTGCTGACAAATAGCCACCGGCCCTCTGCTAAGAGCCCAGATTCCGCATTCAGATGCTTTATAGCTGTATACCACAGTGCCTTTCTCTCTCTCTTGGGATGAAATACATCCACAGCTCCTGGAGCTGAGACAGGCTCTTTAATTGTGTGTGTGGTTAATTTATGACAAGGCAACATCACAGTGGGACAGACTTGGGCAGGCAGGCTTTCCTTGCTTGAAGAGAGAAACCTTTCCACCCCAGGCTCTGTCTTTAGGCTCTTTTATTCCCAATCACACCCTGGAGGATGCAGCAAAGCTGTGACAATGAAAGTTGGGCAGGGGGGGGAAGTCATTTTGGAACCTGCAAATTGTTCTGTTACTCCAGGGTTTTTCCTGCATGCAGTCAGCCTTCATTGGGAATGGGGGAAAAAGGGAAGGCAGATGCTAACAGACATTTAGGAGGGGCTCCTGGCAGCACCTTAAGTTATTTTATACTAATCCTGCTATACACTGGAGAAGAAGTAGATGGCTAAGCTCAATGCTTTTACAGAAAGGGGATCGTAGTGTCCCAAATCAGCAATCTTCACTGGGGAGACCCCTTTGATACCGGAGATATCTTCCCTTTAAAATTTATGTAGCTTTCTGACCACCCACCACCCACTCCTTAGCCAAGGAAAACTTATTCAGGCAGAAATAATTGGTCCTTGAAGCTCTCCAGGAGACCATGTCTAAAGCAATGACCTCAATAAAGGCTTGTATAGAAGGGAACTCCAGCAGATAATTAGGTCTCCATCCCTGGTCCAAGGGAGGCAGCTCTATTCCTTTCTTCAAGCTTGAATAACTCTTCTCCCAAAGTGCTGGCAGTTCATAATGTCTCTGAAACTCAGTGTCTGAAGAACATATTCTAGCGTTAGTGCATATCTGCATAACATTCTGAATTTCCAGAAATTCTCCCTTGAGAGAGGGAGGGACGGCTTCATGTAAACTATGTAGAAAATAATTAGGGGATAGGAAGCAGACTTTAGGCTGAAAAGAAAATGCAGGAAGACCTATCCACTAGTTAGTTGATCAGCTGAATTAGCTAGCCAGAAGCAAATGAATTCCCAGTTCAAATGAGCTTCTAAGAGACAGAGACAGAGGAAGAAGAGGGATGACGCATGTGAATGTATGTGCACTTGTACGCATGAGTGAATAAAGGTTGTTCAATCTTGTTACAAACTAATATTCAGGCATCTCAATGAATCTGGTATCTTGCTTAACTCAAGACCTTGTGGGTACTCTCCATGGTACTAAATCTCAAAAGCCTAGTGTGTACTTTGCTACACTTGATCAAAATATCCCCAAATGGGATGGTTTTAGCACCTGGAGAGACCCAGGTTGATAGCCATGAACAATCAGTGAGTAACTCTGGATCAATCACTTCCTCTCGGACC